GTCCAGCAGGTCAGAGAAAGCGCTGTGGGCACGTAAGGGAGACTTGGAGAGCTCCCAAAGCCCCCACATGATTATGTGCGACCTCAGCCAGGACTTGTGCCTGCTCATGCCTCAGTTTCCTTATCTGTAAAGCAGGTATACTTAGGAATACCTCTTCAACCTGAACAATAAAATCAGAACACCGTAATGTCTATGAAAACACCTTGTAAACTCCAAAGTAATTCTGTGAGGTAATTGCCAGATTAAAATACTCTGTCATCACTTTCTTCTCTACCATCAGGGATCTGAGAGGATGGTGCTATTTCACGAAAATTAGTTTGAGCTCTTCAAAACCTGCCACATAAAACAAAGACAGCTCCAATTTCTTTAATCAAAATGATGATCAGCTTCTAAAAATGAGTCTGTCTTCCCTGAGATCATGCAGAATTAAAATCTGATTTCAAAGAAGGGAAAATTGGAGTGTATTTGGGTTTGATTCACAGCCACTGAGCTCCGCTGCTTTCTCACCACTTTCCCACGCTCCCTGATTCGGTGAGTCCTTTGGGGGCAATCTGGAGATGACTCGGTCCCATTGCTTGTCTTTAAGAAACAGGGTTGGGCTGAATGCTACCTCGAAGACTTTGTTTGAAAACCAGCTAATCGGCAGCTGGAGAGAGAGCTGGTGGGCAGGGTTGAGGGTTTCCTAGGGCGGGTCACCACTGACGAGGATTGGTGTCCTGGTGTGGAAACCACCCAGGAAGCCCCAGCTTTGGTGAGATGGAGCAGCCTCAGGCAGCTGGGGCCTGGGCCTGGCCGCTCTGCTAGGGGGCCTGGAGCTGGGGCGGGAGGACAACTCGCAGGCTGGGTCACCCCCAGTGGGGACTCCAGTGAGGCAGGCTGGAGCCCACATCCTGGCCTGCTTCCTTCTCTTCCATTTCTCTGCTGTTTCCTAATCAGTCCCTTTCGTGGCGTATAAAACGAGCGGCTGCTTATTCCTATCTCACGTTATTGTTTTCTGCGGGTCCCCCACCCTCCCAGGCGCAGTGATTTCGGCATCAGATGAGGGCGGTAAGTGTTTGAGATGCATAACTGTGTCTCATTTCAGTTCCTAATAGAAGATGGAGAATGAGCCCTGGCACCTTTCTGCTCAGTAAATTCATAATTACAGGCTTCCCCGTCTCGCCTCTCACCAACCAGAGAATTGGTGATTGGCTTGTGGGTCTGTGAGTGTGTACAGTAAGGAGGGGCGCGGCAGGCACACTTTCTAGGGTGCTTGGCAGTTTCTGATATAGAGACTGTGAAAGTCCTCTCCCGAGGGTTGGTGTCGAGCCCTGACCTGCACCTGCTCTAGCCCTGGAATGAGGGCTCCTGGACCTGCTATAATTTGGGTGTTGGCAGCGATGTTCTGAGAGCTACCAGCCAGCAGAGCAGATGGCACCCAGAGGGCTGGCTCCTCCAAAGACCAGGGAGCAGATGCCGAAGTGGGTTCAGATAAAGTCAGGAGAGAGGCTGTGGGTGGTGGGAGGAGCACTGGACGGGGAGTCCAGGGACCTGAGCTTAAGCCCACCCCACCTTGAACTCACTATGCGACCTCTGGCAAGTCATTCATTTCTCTGGATCTCAACTTCCTTGTCTCTAATATCAGGAATTGGGGATCATTAAACTGGAATATCTCTTTCAGATAAAAAAACTTAGATTTTTCTCTGATGCTTGGATTTGCGCAGCAATTTGAGATGAACCATCCAGAACCCTCAGAACTCTAATTGAGATGGTACATAGGCACCATGTCGATATCATAATCCTAATCCCTTTACTCTTATTTAAATCTCATCAACAATGAGCCTTTATTCAGCACTTATGTATGCCAGGTGATTTCCAGTCACTGAGGCTTTTAGAGGTAAACAGCAGAGCCCACCTGATGGGTGTTACCTGCCAGGTTCTGCCCTGCGGGTCCCAGGGGCTTTGCTTTTCACCTACAGAGCGGCCAGGGAGATGCTCCTGGCTGATGTCCTGGATTTCTGTGTTTGGGGATTTATCTGAAGTAAAATGGGCTTCCAAGTACTCTGTATGCGGGGCTCTGGAATTGCATGTTGCTAGTAAGATGCAGTGATACAAACCTGGGTTTGAATTCACACTCTGTCCCTTGTTAGTCACATGCCTTTGCGGAGCTGTAGGTTCCTCACCTGAGAAGCAGGTAAAATGGCATTGACCCCAGTGAAGAGCTGTGATGCTAAAGGAGGTGAGGTAGTCCATGTGCCAGCATGGGGCCTGGAGTGTGGCAAATGGTCCACAGGTAGTGACATTCTTCCTTGCTTCCAGCCTCTCTTTCTGCCAGTCCTCGACCTTCCACTGTGTGCCAGGTGCTGGTCGGGGGCCATGGGCACACTAGTGAGCAAGGCAGGCCCTCCCTGTCCTCAGGGAGCCCACAGCTCTCAGCTCCACACTCAGTTCCTTCTGCAGAGTCTAAATGGAGAGGAGTGTGGAGTCTCCTTTCTGGGGGCCTTTGCTCTTTCCTTGAAGTGTCTTTACTTAATAACATGCACTTCAGCCTCAGCCTTGCAGGGATTCCCAACAAAGCTCATGGCTCTCTCTTTCCAGCCCTGTTTCTATCTCATTCTCAGGAACCGGGTTCTCCAGACAGACCCTTCCTGGTGTACATCCTGTTTGATAGGCTATGCTGGCCCCTTTCCAGGGCGGCCTTTCCCTTCCAGCTCTGCATGTCCTCTCCAAGTTCATGGCTCAGCCCCAATGCCACCCCCTCCCCAAGGCCTCCTACAGCCTTCTCATGCTCCCTACCCCACGTTAGAAGTCACTTTCTTCATGCAAACTGCCAAAGTGCTCTGTGTCCTGCCACTTAGCTCTTCACCATCCGAGTAACTCTGGTTCCTGCGGTGGGTGCCTGGTCCAGCCTCAGCCGTCCTTGGATTCCATGGTGTCTGGCATGTTTCATGGGTGCCCTGAGCAAGCATTTTCCGCATGGAGGGATGAGTGAAGGCCCTCAGCATGCAGGACTGCTGTCAGTTGTGGGGTACACCGTCTGCCAGAGTCCTCCTCTGATACTTCCTTGGAAGACCTGCGTTTTCATTGGGATTTGAGCTAACAATGTCAAGTCTGCCTTCTTCTTTCTTCTCTTGGTTTCCATCTAACCTCATGCTCTTTCTTTGCTGGAGGGGTTTCAGTTGCTCAACAGTTAACCTCTTCCTGTGACCTGTTTTTGAGATGTTTGGGTGTGAACAACACAAATTCCACAAACTGAGACACCTCCCAAATACGATGTAGGCCATCCTGCCCTGATTTCGCCCCAACTGTAAGGAATATGAAGCTGTCCTCTGGGCTCACATGCAGAAAGCATCTCAGGTAGGCATCAACGAGACAGTAGGATGGACAGCTGTCTTGTCCAATGGGGAGTTACTTATTTATATCCCTGCTGACCACTTCTCAAAGCATTTGTTTACTCCCTTTCATGAGAACCTTTGAGAGGAGGGCCCGCTGTGGGAGGCGGCCAAGGTTTGCCTCATTAAAAGGACATTGAGGCTCAGAGCCGGGCAGTATATCCAGAGGACCTGGCTACTGCCGCAGTGAGAAGGGCTTTTTATTTGGGCTTATGCACCGTCCGTCCAGCAGGTTGTGGGGGAGGGACGCACGAGCAGCTTCCCCTGCAGTAGGTGCAGACCTGGAGGGCCAGGTGTCAATGAACAGTGTTGTTTGAACTATTATGCTGTGTACAAACAGGAAGCAGGGTACATCCCCATCTGTGTCTGGCTAACCTGAGATGGTTTGCTAGTGAAGATGAGAATCTGCCATGGACTTGTACAGCCGGGTTTGAATCTACCTCTACCACTTTTAGCTTCGCCAGTTACAGAACTTTCCCAAGCTATAAAGTGGGAATAACAATACCAATAACTTCAGAGGTCTCCGAGTCAGGGTCCTGGCAAGCAACAGTACATGCAAACTCACTCACTCCAACAAAGATTAATACCGGGGATCTTGGCAAAAGTGTGGCTCTTAAGAGGCAGGACAGTGGTAGGGGTGGAAATAGTGAGGCCCCATAGGACCAAACAGGGGTGGGCAGCAGGTGGTTCTCCGAATCTGGAGATAGAGAGTCTGGGTGGAGAGGCTGACCAGGGCACAGTGTGTGACCTGTGGACAAGGGTCACAGCCAGTGCATGCAGCTCACCTCCACTCCTCCTGTCCTCTCCCCCTTCCTCCAGCCTTCTGCCCATGCTCCCCGCTGGCTGCACCTCGCCAGGCCCAAGGGCAAGGAGCCCGCAGCTGGACCTCCATGCAGATCAGCCTCCGGGTGCAGAAAAGTGTGGGGAGAGGATCTGGAGGGGCAGATGGAAGATCCTAGCACTGAGAGTTTTGTTAACTTGCAGTTTAAGATTAAGATTTGTCTCTGGAAGGTGATGGACTAGCGGGTCCAGCAACCCCTTTGGGGGTCGAACGACCCTTTCATAGGGGTTGCCTAAGACCATCGGAAAACACATATATAATTACATATTGTTTTTGTGATTAATCACTATGCTTTAATTATGTTCAATTTGTAACAATGAAAATACATCCTGCATATCAGAAATTTACATTACGATTCATAACAGTAGCAAAATTACAGTTGTGAAGTAGCAACGAAAATAATTTTATGGATGGGGGTCACCACAACATGAGGAACTGTATTAAAGAGTCGCGGCATTAGGAGGGTTGAGAACCACTGTGCTGGACAGTTACGGTACAGTCAGGCACTCCGCAGTCAGTGGCCGTTCATCATTTTCATCACTATTATCATTGTTAGCATCACTATTATTTTTATTATTATTATTGCTGAAATGCCCTCCTGTGGCTGTTGTCACCAGGTCTGGCTGTCCCACAGCCATGGAAACTATGTCCCTTGGCCTCTAGCTTCTCCCAGTACAGTTCTCTGTTTCAGCGTGAGCAGAGTACTTTGGGGACCCCCCTGGCAAGCTATGGAATGAAGCTGAGTTGCTGTCATTGTCATCCAGCATCACACCTTTCCTTTTCTTCACAGGGACCCTCCACTCCTGAGTCCTGGCCCACCCAGGAGGACGCTTCGCCAGTGCTACTGTGCCACGAGGACCCGTGTCTGAAATGAGAGCCATGCCCTGGAGCTGGACTTGCCTGCTGTCCCATCTCCTGATGGTGGGGATGGGCTCCTCCACTCTGCTGCCCCGGCAGCCACCCCCGCCATCCCAGAAGCGGTCTTTTGTGACATTTCGCGGGGAGCCAGCGGAGGGCTTCAACCACCTGGTGGTGGACAGGAGGACAGGGCACATTTACCTGGGGGCCGTTAACCGGATCTACAAGCTCTCCAGCGACCTGAAGGTCTTGGTGACCCACCAGACAGGGCCGGACGAGGACAACCCCAATTGTTACCCGCCCCGCATCGTCCAGACGTGCAATGAGCCGCTGACCACCACCAACAATGTGAACAAGATGCTCCTGATAGACTACAAGGAGAACAGGCTGATTGCGTGCGGGAGCCTGTATCAAGGCATCTGTAAGCTCCTGCGGCTGGAGGACCTCTTCAAGCTGGGGGAGCCGTTCCACAAGAAGGAGCACTACCTGTCGGGGGTCAACGAGAGCGGCTCTGTCTTTGGCGTGATCGTCTCCTACAGCAACCTGGACGACAAGCTCTTCATCGCCACGGCAGTGGACGGGAAGCCAGAGTATTTCCCCACCATCTCCAGCCGGAAGTTGACTAAGAACTCAGAAGCGGACGGCATGTTCGCGTATGTCTTCCACGATGAGTTTGTGGCCTCCATGATTAAGATCCCTTCAGATACCTTCACTGTCATCCCGGACTTCGACATCTACTACGTCTATGGCTTCAGCAGTGGCAACTTTGTCTACTTTTTGACCCTTCAGCCTGAGATGGTGTCTCCCCCGGGCTCCACCACGAAGGAGCAGGTTTATACATCCAAGCTCGTGAGGCTCTGCAAGGAGGACACCGCCTTCAACTCCTACGTGGAGGTGCCCATCGGCTGTGAGCGCAGCGGCGTGGAGTACCGCTTGCTTCAGGCTGCCTACCTGTCCAAAGCCGGCGCCGTGCTCGCCCAGACCCTCGGAGTCCGTCCAGAGGACGACCTCCTCTTCACTGTCTTCTCCAAGGGCCAGAAGAGGAAGATGAAATCCCTGGATGAGTCGGCCCTCTGCATCTTCATCTTGAAGCAGATCAATGACCGCATTAAGGACCGGCTCCAGTCCTGCTACCGGGGCGAGGGCACGCTGGACCTGGCCTGGCTCAAGGTGAAGGACATCCCCTGCAGCAGCGCGGTGAGTCAAGGGAGGGCCTGGGGACTGGGGTGATGCGGTGTGGAGGGAGGACCCTAGCCTATGGCCTTTGAGGGGTATGAATCATCCAGGCCATTTAGCAGAAGGGACAAGTATATCCCATCTCTGGGTCTCACTGGACTCAGATCCTCACCAGCTCAAACCTGCTGTGACTATGCAACTGAGCTTGTAAAAGTCAGAGCTGGAGTGAAAATGTAGATTTCCTATCAGGGCACTTTTCTCTACTGGTTATTGGAGGGAGTGCTAGGGATAGGCGGGATTATGTTACTTACATGTTAACACGTGCACCAGGCATGGTTGAAGGCCAGTTACCATGTACTGTAGGACAAGGTGAGTGCCCACTTTCTTACCAACCACGCCAGTGAATCACTTCCCTGGAAGCTGAGAATTAACCATTACTGGGAGCAATGGTGTCAGTCATTCTGCATTTGAGATGGATGGGGAATTCCAGGGGCGCTATGATCTCAGCCCCTGCACATCTTTAGAAAATGAACAATGAGAGCAGAGTAGGGTGAGAGTCCAGCGAACATAAAGGGGAAGGCAGGACTTGCTGAGAAAACTGTATTTGTTAAGCGTCTTCAGTGCCCACAGCTCCACAAGAGACTTGCTACAAAGTCAGGGGGCAGCCCAGGAAGAGCTCTGAGTGACAGTTGTGCTGGGGGAACTGGAGGAAGGGGGAAGGGAGAGTTGGTGTAGGAGGCCGTCCTGGGGTCTGAGGGCCTGAGGCGCAGACCGGACCTCAGGCTGCTGCCTTGCTGGGTGATCACAGGGGCAACTGGTGACACAGCCTCACCCACTTGTGACCCAACATGAAAAGCATCTGTCTTTCTGTGGCTGGACTTCTGTTCACCTTTCCAATGGCCCAATGTTTTTCTAAATCATTTTTCAACTGAGTTGTATGGCTCAGCTATTAACATCACCTATGCCCCCTATCACTCTCCTTCCCATTTTTCTCTTTATGGTCCCATTAAAAAGTTATGAACCTAGTTGGAGAAAATCTATCCTGTAATCTTAATGAGGAAAGGAAAGTTCACCCATCAGGTGGAAGTGTGCGTTTGCATCAATGGGATCCTGATGTCTAGTCACACTACGGTGGAATTCCGTATTAGGAAATGCATCTGGGTTTATTTAAAAGTTAAGTTCCCCTTCATACCACTTGCCAAGCTGATCTCAGAGGGCACGGGCACCCACTCCCCCCAGCATGTGTCTCTAGTCACTGGGATTTGGGGTGGGTAGAGGAGAGGGAGGAGAAAGGAAAAACTCGGCAAAATTTGGCCTTTGGTGCCCTAACATGTAGGCTTAGACTGCTTTCCAGGGGTGAGTTTTCCAGGTGCCTGGGCTGAAACTAAAAGATGCCATTCCTCCTTGGAGGCCCTGAAATCCAGGACACCCCTAGTGTCACAAAGGAAATGGGAGAGGTTCTATGGGCCAAAGAAGGCAGCAACAATTGACAGCCATGGCCAGGCCAGAGAATCGAGGCGACCCTTCTGTATCTGCTGAGCCCTAGCAGGTAACATATCCTTAGGAGTCTCTGGTTTGGGGCAGTAGCTAACCCACTCAGGAGAGTCTGTAAAACAGGCTTATGAACTTGAGGAGCCATGGACTGCTCCTAAATGAGGGCAATGAATGACAGTCCAGATGCTGGGCTGTGTATAAGTTTATTACACACTCAGACATAGTTCCCGGGAGATGCATTAGAATGTTGGCATGGACACAGATCTTAGAGATCCTGTGGTCTAAACTTTCATTCCACAGCCCAACCGAGTGAATGAATTGTCCAAGGTCAGACATCTTGCGGGGGAATGGCCGACCCTTGAGGATAATCCTCTTTCCTCTCCTAGCACCACATTTGCACATATCCATATGGACACATATGTACAAACACATGTGTGCACATATACAATAAATACCGTCATGAGCATGCACACATGTGTTCTAGGTTAGAAAATGGTACGTTTATGCTGTGTGCTTACTGAACTAGTTCTTTTGAGGTCAGAGGGGTTGGCTATTTTTTCTGTAGACGTTCGTTTGTAAAGAACTTGCTTAAACTGGCTTTTGGGGAGTAAAACCAGCTGCAGGGGTCAGCCTGGCTTCCCATGGGCAGGAGTATGCCCCATCTTTGCTCCCTGCCACAATATAAAAAGTCAAGTTCATCGTGGATGTCTGCAGAGCTGCAGGTCCCCACACCGTGGTGGCCTTGGAGAGAACAGAGGGAAACAGCTTTGCAAGACAGGCTAATGCCAGGACTGGAGTAGTGGAGCCAGATAACAGGCTTTTGATTTTTCTTTGGCTTTAATTAGCCCTTTCAAGTGAGAGGCAAGTTCAGGGCTGAGAGCAGAAAGGAGGAGGCCAGAAACTGCGCACAGGGCCGGGCTGTCTCCCCAGCCAGTCTGAAAGGTCACGCCGGCTTTTAACGCGCGGTATCAGTTTCTTTTGATTCGGCCGATCCTCAGGTTACTGTGCTCTGGAGCGCTCAGCTGCAATTCATTTGGCCTCAGCTGAGACCATACATGTTTCACGTGCCACTAGCCAGGCCAGGCTCCCCAGCGTCCCACTGAGGAACCCTTGTTGGCACACTGTTGGCAAACACAGCCTTTCCTTCACCCATCCCCACAGCTGTTAGGTCCCTCCCCCTTTTCCCTCCTGCCTGGAGGCAGGGATGGATCAGGTGGACCCTGAAGTTTCTTTGTCTCCCAGTCCAAGATTCCCTTGAGGCTTGCAAAATGGAACCCATCTCAGATGGCCTCCTCCGGTGGCAGGTCAGCTGTAGAAGGATGGCCCCGGAGGTTGGCTTTTAGGACTTGTGTTTTGCAGGGTCGGGGTCTCCTATGGGTTTTATCATAGTCACAACTCAGAGCTTGCAAAGGGGGTGTGATTAGTGGTTCACTCCCCCCCTATCCCGCTCCTGTTGTTAGAGTTCCCTAAGCTAGAATGTGTACCCAGGGATGTCCTTCAGGCTCTTCGATCCCTCCCATTTCCTGGGACCCACACTCCTTCCCTGAAAGCATGCCTCCAAAACTCAGAGAAGGGAGCAGTGTAAGCCCTGGGGCCCCTCAACCCTTCACTAGGTCTCCACTGCCCTTTGATTATGTGCAGGGATGATGGGTGGAGCTGGGAGAGAATACCTGTGTGGCTTGGCCTGCCATGCCATGGGGCGTTCTTGGAGCTGTGTGGTGGGCCACAGCCTGGGGACCAGGCGGGGGAGAAGCCTTGGACTGTGAGGCTGGAGCCTCGTTCTGCAGGTTCCCAGAGAGTTCCCTGTTTTTATTTCAGGTGAATCAGGAAGGCTGGCTGAGCCCACCTCAGAGTTAAGGGCAGGGCCTCCTCCTGGGACTGTCACTTTGAATGTCAATGCCTGCTGCCAAAGCAAATCCCTGAGTGGGCGTTGGGTGTAGAGGCTGGGGAAGCAGTCCCGTGTTTCTTGGTCCTGTGGGGAACCTTTGGGGTGAGGAGCCCATACATAGCCCATAGCTTCTGTCATGTGCCAGGACCCCAAACAGGCCAAGGTGACAGCTCCCAGAGCTTTCTTGGGAGCTCTGACACCCCTGACCTGGAGTTGGCAGCCAGGCTGGGCCAAGGTAATTGCTTACCACATGGACCACGTGGCTGGGCATCCCAAAGTCCCCCAGGCATGGCTATCTGTTCCTCCTCAACCTTTTTCCAGCCTTCTGGGATAACCTCACAGAAAACCAACCTCAGTCTCCAAATGGATGAATGAATGGATGAGGGGATGAAGCATTTATTAGGCCTTTGGCCATGTACTCATACCTGGTGGATGCCAAGAATCATGAAATGATATTGGTCTCCAGGAGCCCAAGAGTCCAAGACTGAGATGCACCCACGCAGGTTGTCATGGTCTATGTGGTGGGAACAATGACTGTGGTCCTGGGAGTGAGTGACTGTCATGCAGATGAGGCTGGATGATGCAGAAACCAGCTTCTTAATCTTCCCCTCAAGACTTGCACTTAGAGTGACCTTCTAACCGGAAATGTAGGTCTTTGGGGGCAGAAACTCTTACCCAGAATCTTTGCCTCACACCTGCCAAGCCCGTAAGTGGGAGCAGAGAGTGGCAGCTGGATAATCCCACTGCAGGGGTGTGCATGGTGCTTGACATTTACAAAGGGGTTCATCACCTCCTTCGTCCTTTCAGCAGTGCCCAGGATGGTAGAAAGGGCAGCTTTCCTCTCTAGGTGAGGAAATGGAGCAACAGAGAAGTCACAGCCTTCACTCACGGTCATGTGATTGGTAGACGAGAACCTGCTGTCCATCCTAATTCTCAGCCGGTTGCTTTTCCCACTGGTGTTTCTCAGTGGTGTGCTGGTGGCACCCCGAGTGGGACAGTTCACTGCCTGGGCATCGCAGGTCATTTGCAACCCTGGGCACCAGAGCATTAAGTGCTTATGGGACTCCCCACACTGCAAGAACTAGAAAAGCCTCTCACCTTTCTCCCTGTGGGAAACCACTGTGAGACCAAGTGCCTATCTGACTTTGGAGGTTGCCTGCCAGCCCAGCCAGTCCCACCAGGTGCACAGAGGCATGGGGCTGAGCTCTTTATGCTGCTCCCCAAGCTCCAGTTCATGCCCAACAGTGAGGAGCAGTGAAGGAGAAGAACCCATGCATGGTGCTGTCACTCCGACACTTATATTTATTGTTTCTCAGGCACAGTGCCCTGGGAGGGGACCAGGTCATCCCCCTGGATTCAGGCTGGCCCCCCGTCCCAGCCTGGTCGGTCACTCAGGTTCGTCTGGCGCCTAGGATCCTGAAACTCCACGAGAGTGAGCATCCGGAATGGGCAGGCGGTCACCCCAGGCTCCGGGTGCTGGTCTCTGCCAGTCTGCTTGGGTGTTTTCTTTCCCTGTTGGCAGGAAGGGCAGCTCTGAGTAGATGGGTGTATCCTGTTGTTTATGGCTCTGAGCAAGGTTTCTCTTTCTGCTCAGCCACAGTCCTGTCACAGACCAGGAACTCCCCCTCGTGCTGCCCCA